TTTCTTTTACCTCTTTAAATTCTATCCAGTTCATACCAATACATCTTTTGCGTTTCAGATATCGCGATGCACCGGGGAGTGCATTAAGATGTACATATGAAGGGACTTTGCGGGATCTATTGATTTACTATAAACCACGAGCACCAAAGAAACTCTACTACCAAACACTAAGCATACCTATCGACCAGCTTGAAAACAAGAGACAATTCAAATGTATTTGGGTTGCCAACCAATTCAAAGAGGAGAGAGAACTCGCTCTTTTTCCGAATAAAGATGGGACGGTGGCAGACCTTCTCAACGAAGCACGGGAACAAGTTGATTTACAGCCGAATGGAACGGGAAAACTTCGACTTCTAGAGATTATCAGCTCCAAAGTGGTTAACAATGTTAACAATGACGTTCCACTGGAACATCTCATCAACCAGTCACAAAGAACGTTTAGAATAGAGGTAATGGATGTGATGTTTCAAGGAAAACTGGTGTATATTGAGAACGGTTCTTTACCTTTTTAGTCAGTCATGATGTCTTGAAGACCAGTTAACGTTCTTAGCAATCCTTAATCCTTTTTAAAGTATCAGGAGCGCATATTAGAACTTGTCCCTTTAACTGTAGACGTTAGAATTAAAAAAGCTTATCTGTTGACGGATCGCATGCCATTTACTCTTTTTTTTTTTTTGTTTGTTTTTAAGGAAATCCCCGAAGATGAATTAGAACTAGCAAAAGAGGAAATTTTAGTTCCTGTGGCTCACTTCAATAAGGTAAATTCTTTATAATCGTCCTATTTGTGTTACGATGTGACTTGATATCGTCAAAAGTCTGTTATGTCGTGGCAAAATTGTTTCCTTTTTTATTTTTAACAGGAAATTTATCAGACATTTGGAACTCCATTTTTACTAAGGATAACAGACGTAAGTACTTGTAGATCAAGGGAGAAATTCAAGTGGCACAAATTTATCTGATGGTGTGCAAAACACATGTATACCTAACAAAGTGAGGAGTTTCATTGACTTGGAATGAGCGTAACAGGTTAAGAAAACCCCCAGAAACTGAGAAGAATGACATCATCAGAAACTCAAATGGAGAGTAACTATGCATTCCTTTAAGTTATTTGTGTAGCAATTGGTCACTGGTTATAGGTCTCGATAAAAACCCCTGGAAAGCAGCTAGTCAGGAGATGGGTGTGGCATCCTTTCTGAATGTGGCAGGTGTACAATTGAATCAAATAACCTCTGTTTCCTATTTGGACCACAAACTCTTAACAAGAACACGCTCATTTTATCAACAGGGAGAACCCATTAACAAGTTAAAAGAAAGAATAAAAGAAAAGATAGACATTCAAGAAAAAGAATTTGAAAAGGCAAGTTACTTTTGTTTTTTTTCCAACTAATACCAGTGGAAAGCAGGTGGAAGCTGTAGCAGACAGACGTAGAGTTATACAAACAAACAAACAAGACAGGCCTACTAAAAAGTAAATTAAAAAACAGAGGAAAGAGAGGGAAATGGTTACATAGGTAGACAGATAGACAGGTAGGGAGGCATGGAGGAAGACAGGTAGACCGGAAGACAAACAAACAGACGAAGGGCTAACGCTCGAAACGTCAGCTTTTATCTCTCTACTGTGGCCAATTTACAATTTCAACTTAGTTGGTATAACCAAATTACCTTGTTACCCCCACCGACACAGCACCGCAGTTTCTTTAGAAACTTACTCCCTTTAGACAGATAGATAGATAGGGAGGCAGGCAGAAAGACAGACAGATAGATAGGGAGGCAGAAAGACAGACAGACAGACAGATAGATAGGGAGGCAGGCAGAAAGACAGACAGATTGACAGACAGACGGACAGATAGGTAGGGAGGCAGGCAGAAAGACAGACAGACAGACAGATTGACAGAGACACAGACAGACAGACAGGTAGACAGGCAGGCAGACAGAAAGGCGGACAGGGAGACAGGGAGACAGATAAATTGACATACAAGCAGGCTGGCAGACAGACAGACAGACGTACAATGGGGCAGACAGACAGATAGACAGACAGACAGGCAGGTAAGCGAGGAATTGAGAATACGGACAGAAAGGAACAAAGACGATCAGATATGCACATATAATCAGGAACAGACACAAAAAAACAGGCCGATAATAGCTATTACCAGCTAAATGTTTTCATGTTTTCCTGAAGGTTAAATTCGCAGTTATTCACATGGGACGAGCGATATACCTTCCCGAAGGTAACTTCATTATTCTTGACTCCTCTTCTGTTCTAGTTCTTAGGTCGTTCTTGCATCCTTTCTATTTACTTTTCTAATTTTTCGTGTATTTGCCTTGTTTCAGAATCGGACAAACTCGTCTCAGTGAAAGATTTTCTTCCGCAGACGCCAGGTAAACACAAGCGTTCATTGCTCTAAAAATTGAAAGGAGTTTTTATTAAGTTGGTTGAAAAAGAGAATTTGTCGTCTCTTATTTTCCACTTATCTGATCCTGAAACTTGCACGACACTCGTTATATACAGTTTGGACTTATTTATGGCCAAGGTCATCCTAGACTAATGTGGCTCGTTCCCTCGTGGGGACTCGAATTTTTTTCTCTTTTTTCCTCTAGCTTGTGGGAAGACGAAGATATACGTACTGTTTGTCATTAATTTGCAATTAATCAAGCAATATCTCCCTAGTTCATAATTCTTTCGCTCCTCATCACCTTCCCTCTTTAAAATGTATTAACATGAGGAATTGCTCGATCACTTCTGGTGGTGCAAGTGTGAAACAATTTCTTGTGATCCCAACCCATTCGGAAGGAATTTAACTAATCTTGGCAATTACAAAGTTGAGACTCGCATTATTTTATTTTAGTTTTCCGATTCTGCCCTGGTGTGACATAACTAAGAATAATCTACTTAGCAAAGTAAAAGTGTTTTCATCTGCAAATAAGAGGGCAGCGTTTTAGCAAGCAAAAGGAGACTTAAATATATTTGTTGGTTTTCAAGGCATGAGCATGAGCAGACCGTGGCTGGGACTGGATCATCTCAACAAGGCTCCCAAGAGATCACGGTATAGCTTCCTTGAACGACCGATCAAAATCCACAACTAGGGGATGCACGACCGTCTTTTTAAAAAAACACCGATTTTGCGTTTTCTTTTTAGTGTGAGGAAGAATTGTCTTCTCTCACATTAAGAAGTTAATCATTCAAGAAAATAGTCAGTGGCTGAATTGATGTGCTGACCTTACAATTTGTACAGTTGTAAAGACCTTATTTGCTCGGCAGTTTTTAGACTAATTTCGGGAAAAGTTCATTCCAGTGAAATGCTTTCAAAGCTCGTCTACTTTACACGTAATGGTGGTATCTTGGTGGTATCAAAGTTCTCTGTCACGCATCTTTTTTGAGAATATTAAATTAAGATAATGCGCTACCTATGTTATGACGGCTCGTATTGAAATCTTGTATGCAATAAAGACCACATGAACTTGTTTTAAGTAACTCTTCCCTTTGGAGATCTTCCTATTCTTCTTTTGTAATAACTATAAAAGTGCAGCTATTGCCTGTGTATTTTTATTTGTGAAAAATTTGCTTCAACCCTGTGGCCGTCTTCTCTTCCTTTTATTCGCGAAAGCGTTTTTGACAAATAATTTTCGAAGGTAAAGTCAATGTTTAGACCTATCGGCCCGCTCCCTCAGATGGAGGAGTTAAAACATTGTATAGCACAAAAGGAATAAAGACAGGGGGATAGTGCAGGGAAGAGTTCTTTTTTTTTTTCTTTATTACATTTACATCCATTTTAAAATCTGATCCTTGCAGTCTGATTACTCTCACCGGTGCGATTTGTTCGCAAGTCGCACCATTTTATGTCCTAAATCACATCTTTTCTTAACCAACGAGACAGCTTTACTAAAACACAAAAACCAATCAAATTTCAGGGCTTGTTTAAATAAATCAATCTCGTTGCGGGAAAATGAGACAAATTTTGCAATTTTTCACTAACCAGCTCAATATAGTTGATCACTAAAATATTTGTACAGACTAAAGAAACTTGTATCGAGCGACCGAATTCGTGCCGTGCACGAAATGAAATCACGCGTATTATTATATACATACCGAGATTTACGCACCAAAAAGCATCGAGATAAAAATAGTCTCTTCGCGCTAGAGGAGCCAGCTGATTGGTCATACGATTTTTTTTCACTAGTGAAAAACGACGTATCGACGCTCTGATTGGCTTTATCATTATTTTCACTAGTAAACAAAACCGTGTCGCTCGCTCGCTCGCCGCTCCTCTTGACTGACAAATAGCACATTTCTAAGAGCTTAGGCGCATTGTTCTTTAGAAAGATGGCTTCAAATCACACTAACCGTTTTCAGAGCCTAGAATCATCAGTAGAAGAGTTCATAGACGGACAGGAAAATGAAAACAAGAAAAAGACCAAACACGATGTCGCTTTGTTCCACGAATTTCTTGTTTTGAAAGGCGAAACAAAAACAAAAAAATTAAGTCTCGGGTTTTCACTTCTTTATTTCAAATTTTGAACTTCCATAGAACTATTTCGACATATTTTCAGGATGTCTTGATTTATTCTACCTAGTTCTGCCTTTTAACGGCATTTTCGCTTGATAATTTAGTGCAACTCCCGAACAGCGGCTTGACCGCGCGTTGCTTTCCTTTGAAAGATTTCCCGCGTTGATCCCGCACATGAAAAAAATTGCATTAAAGCTGCGCTATTCTTGAACAATTTTGGCGATGGAAACGCAAAAAGCGGCAGAAGACATTCAAAACAAAGAAAACAGAAACGACTCTCGTGAGTTTGTTGTGTTACAAACACAGTTGGCTTTCTTTCCTGGCTCTCGAAGTAAACAAGTCATTCTTAATCCTTAGTTAAGCGAAATCTTTTTGCAATATAATAAATGTTTTATTAACCAAGCTTGTTTGGTCAAGATGGCTGGATATTAGCCTCTTCTTTTTTCGCATTTTTACGGACCTCGACTTCGTCTCGACCATAAAAGTGCAAAAAAATACAGAACTCGGCCAATATCCAGCCATCTTGACCTCAGGCTTGGTTAATAACGCCTATATAAAATGACGTCAAACCAAACGTTTTCCACACCAGTGCGTTTTTTTGGAACAGCCACCTCTTTCATCGAAATAATTTTCTCTTTGGTAACAGTAGCAAGAGGAGAATCTCATTTTTTGTCTTCAGGTGCTTGTATTTGAGAGTTCAATCACTCGCCAGCCAATTAGCAGGCGATAAAAGCAATATTTCCTACCAGTTAGGAATGGCACAGTTTTAGCTTTGTCCAAACGATAACAGCTAAAGGTCCTAACTTCACCATAGTTACGAATATTAATCAATACCAGTGCCAGAAACAGACTTCTTAATTAAGTTTGAAAATTTGTACCTTTTTGGCCGGAGACTTGTAACTCGGATTCGTTCAATTGATGCAACGAAAGAGAGCAGAACTGAGACAACGGACTCAAGACGATGCGATCTCATCTTAGTCGAGTTTCTACGAACTGGGTGTCTGTTACTGGTCAAATTTGAACTGTTTCTGTTTTAATACTCCGACTCATTAGATGGACGAGAATTATCCCGGTTTTATTTAAGTAAAAAGTTGAAACGATTAAAGTTATCGAGTATCAAAGCTGTGGATTCTTCCAAAACGGCTTCGCAATAATTACGACATTTTCAACTCGATCGAGAACAATTAACTTTGTGTCCTGCAAACAATATCAAGATACAGTGCTAAGATAAAAGAACATTGTTTTCCTTTCTAACTGCCATATGACAGCTGCTGCTTATGTTTTGAGTATTTTGGACCATATCAAGACAGAATTAGATTTAATTATCTAGTTTTCGTCACTTTTCTGCCCTACAGTCTAATGATACCTCAGAGAGGAGTTACGATGTAGATTCATCTAGGAGTCGTACAGTAAACTCAGTTCTCTTTAGGTGGTGTCAGGGAACTGTTAGCGTCGCCATTCATACCAGCACCTGCTCGTTCTCTCTGATGTCGTTCAAGCATTTTCGTACGTTTATCCTGCCAATCCTTGCGGAAATTATTGAGCTCTTCGTCCATCTTCATGATTTCCATGCTGTGTTTGGAGACAAGTTGTTCTGAAGGTGCATGACCAAATGACAGCCTTGGAGTGGGGTGGGTCCCTAAGTCCTCCAATACAATGGATGTGGGTGCAGGGATGGAGCCTGCAGATGATGAAAAGCGAGGTTAAAAAAAAAAAAAAAAGTCTTTTTAAAGGATTACACAATTACTGGTGAACCAGTAGTTTCCATTGTGGTCCTTGCAAACAAATGAAACAAATGGTCTAAATTGAACATAACATCATTAAGAACCCCAACCGGCCGGAGGCAAACCAGTTGGCTATTTACAAGCGTGGCCAAGGATCTGAACTCGGGGCTACCGTGAAACAGATCCAGTGGTCAGGGTGGGACTCGAACCCAGGAGCGGCGGATTACGAGTCCGACACTCTAACCACCCGGCCATACTGCCTCCTTTTGATTGGTTATATATATATTTTTTTTTTTTTGAGGTTATATATTTTTTGCTGCTTAAGATTCATGGACATTCGCCCTTGTCCCCTTTAAAGTGGTTATGTTGGATCGGGCCGGTTATTGAGCAGTCAGGATAAGCGGGGACCTGGGCGGGGTCATCGTGATGTTTTCTTGAACCAAAAGCCCAACGTTTAACCGGTTACACCCTAACATCAGTATGCATGTTCTCCATACTGAATAAAAAAAAAATATTAAAATTTTTTTATACCGATTAAGCTTGCTTAAAAATCAAAAGCTTTCGGCTAGACCTCTAGCTTTGATCACTTCTATCTTCGGGACCAAAGTGTTACTCGACGCCGACACCCTACCATCACAAATGAAAGATTGAAAGCAAACTTTTAACGGGAAACTTTATAAAATGCAGTAGGTAATGAGAGTGGACTTGCTTCCTATTCAGAAGGAACAACACTACAGCTCGTCCAATGAACGAAGCTGAGATACGCTACGGAGGTTGTAATCGTGTAACCTCGCAAAGCGGAATCTTAAATTTACTTTGGCTATTGTATGTATTCAGCCACAAAAATGCTGTTGGAGATTGATTTAGCTCTTCTCAAGCTTTTTTTTTTCTTTTTTTTTTTGGGTTTATAAGGGGCAACAGAACGAAATTTTTCCTTACCTTCGCTTTTTCCTTTGTTTTTCATTTTGTTTTTCTTGTATGCCTCCCAGCCAATCCCTGCGGCCATGAGCATCACAAACAAGGCCAGCCCACCGTATACCGTAATGCTAAATATTCCTCCGCTTCCAAAGTAATCTTCTGCAACGCTTATCTTTTCCTTTTATGTTAAAAAAGTAAACCATTAGTTGCAGTTATTTGTCACCAAGGTTTATCATTGATACCTCACCTTAAGATGCGCGGGAGTGGCGAAGAAGTACAGTCAAACCTGTACTAACCGGTCACCCTTGGGGAATGACAGGGCGCTCGCTTAATACAGGTTCCACAAATAAGGGGTATTCTATTCAACGATTCGCAACGCCACTTCATACCATAATTGACCTCTAAATGTACAGAATCTCGCCCAAAAAATGCTTCTTACTTTGATTTTAGGGGAGAAGCATGGATTGAAAATTACTTGAAAGATTATTCTTAGTTATTTGAGTTGATAGGCTTTAAGTGACGCTATTACACGACTCGGGCAGTCAGAGGGCCAATAACTAAAATCAACCAATCAAAATGCTCTATTGCCGGTCAATATTCTCTCAGTATTGGACCGGGCACTGTCCCGAATGGTTCCGAATGATACCGCACTTGTGTCCCTTTGAACTTCAGTCGTATAATAAATCTCTTATCAACCAAGCTTGCTTAGGAACGTACTGGAAGAATATCGGCCCTCGGTCTTTTTTGTACGGACCGTGCGCAGCGAGGTCCGTACTGTCAAGACCTCGGGCCGATATTCTCCCGGTACGGCCCTCGCGCTTGGTTAATAAGATATATGTTCATTACTTCATTACAGGTGGAAGACAATACAAAACGAGTCTTTGGAACTTAATACAGGGTGATCGCTACCGTTTAATACAGGGTGAACGCTTAATAGGAGCCGCTTAATACACTGAGGTTCGACTGTAATATATTTCCCTTTAGAGTGAAACTATTTTAAAGAAATACATTTTTTTGTTCAAATATGGCCGCTGGTCCCATTTTCGAACCTACCTGTGTGGTCCCGGTATTCTCGGCCAGAATGTAGTAAAACCATTGCTCTTCTGTTTGCACGTATTCCCTGAGGCAATTCGAAAAATTCGTCGAGTTGCGTGCATGGATCGCTCCATATGAAACGTGGCTCGTCAGAATGTTTCCAACCTGTTGTTAAGCGATCATACGTAAGTATGTTACGTTATGGCTCGATCGTGGTACAACAAACCCGCCTTGTTTTGGGGAAGAACAATATCGCAATCATGAAACGAAACAAGAAAAGTCAGCATAATTTTTCAGCGGTGGCATTGAACCTCTAGAAAGATGCCTTAAAGAACTTTGCAGGAAGATCGAAATTCAATAAGGAAAGTTAAAAGAACTAAGCTGCAGGCAACCAGGCAATCGAAGACCAGCAACAGCTACTACAGAACCTGTATCCGAAAGAGCACAGTTGTAAGACCTCCAGAAACCAGGCTGCCAACAAAGTCAGACCAGCTCCAGAACTCAGAAAACATACATTGTTCAATAACTTGTAATTTCGCTTCCATGCAGGCTCAGTTATCCAAGCAACAGAAAATGTTTTGTCAACTAAGCGAATAAAAACAGAGTTAAATCTTACACTGGTGGGTCTCTCTCTGACTTTAAATCCTTTAAAGGATTTCGATAATTTTACAAGAACAATGCGCTTAAATACATGTTTGCAGACAAGTGTAAAATCTCTGCTCACCCGTTTCCTGTCAAATCTACCTGGAAAACACCGGTCAAAATTCGGTTGCTCTACAAAATTACTTGGAACAAACCAAACTCGCACTTGCTTTAAAACAGTTTCCGCCCTCATACTGATAACATTTCAGCGAACATAAGAAATTGGTCAGGGGGCCTCTCCTTTCCGCAATATGTTCCCCATCAAGCAGATGGGAAAGGTCTCCCCAAACGACATTCATCTTTGTGGTAACTATTTCTCTTACTGACTCAGTGGAAACGAACTAAAACACAACAGCAAAATTAACCTTGAAAAAGCTGATAAAGAAACAACAACGGTCATCCTCGATATTGCACAAAAGATAGCTGAAGGCTCACATTAATATTTGATGATAAGTTTTACAAGCCTCTACCGTCTCTTATTGTGCAAGATGCCGCCCCCAAAAGTAAACGAACTGGTTATTAAACTATATGGTTCGGGACAGATCGACCTAATGATCCACAAATGGTTAGCAACTGGTCTTAAACAACCACGTATACCAAAATTTTACCCGCTGACTAAAATTTATATGAAAACACTGGTCGGCAGGCCAATCGCTTCAAGGAACAGTGGTCCAATAAAGCGTATTTCTAGGTTTGTAGACTCACTTCCACAACCTAGTGCAAGGGAACAAGAGTTCCATACACCGACTTCATCAATTATATTGAAAACACGCAAATTCCAGACAATGTGGTCCTAGACACATTTGACGTTAGTTTTCTCTACACCAACATTCCTCAATAAGAAGGAATCGACGTTGTTTGCAGTTATTACGAAGACCATTATGAGCAGAAATTACTTATCCGGACAAGCGATTTCATGCGGCTCTTACTTAAAGAAAGTTCTTTCAAGTGTAATGTAAAAAACACGTCGTACAAACTCACAGCATTGCTATGGGAACTAAAATGTCGGTCGCTCTGACCGTTATTTTCATGGTGAACCTTGAAAAACAACTGTTAGCGGCTAGCCCATTAAAACTATTTGTTTGGAAGAGGTTTATCTTTGACATATTCTCTTTGTGGAACATTCCAATGGAGGAAGTTCCCATTTTTGTAAACTTCGCCAACTCGTTCTACCCCACGATCAAGTTTACTTGTGAAATGTTCCCGGCGAACGCACTGTTTTTCTCGACACAGAGGTACTCGAAGGACCTCGGCTTTCAACACTTAAAATTCTCGAGTCACAAACCCACTTCAAGTCCACTGAAACTTTTCAGCGTACACACTTATCATCCTGCCACCCTTTTAATACGAAACAGAGTTTTATCAAAGGAGAAGCGGCATTACATTCAAGGAAACAAACCAAAAATTGTTGAGGGATCGATGTACGCATCTATCAATCAAATAATTGGTGTTGAATTTAAAATATCACAGTTTTGAGCCACCTTATCCGGACCGTTTTTACAGCGGTCACTGCCAGAATGAAAATAGCCGTGATAACGTGAGACATTGAAGTCATATCTCCTATTGATTCACCTGAATATTGTGTTGGGTGAGGGCGTTTATGTGATGCTTGAGTCCGTGAACGTCGACTAATGCACCTTCCACTTGACGGTCCAGTACATATTGAAACACCTGGTCACTGTTACGCAAAGCTGCATAAGTAACACAATTAAGTCAGAATACAATTATAAGGTTTCGTTCCGTCAACACTTTAACTCTTAAGAGTTACTAGAATTTAATTTCTCCTTACAATATTACCGCGGAAGTACCGCTTAAGGCCACCAGAATAAAGGAAATGATCACCAACAAAGGAAGCTCTTTAGGCGTGAGTAGTCTAGTGGTCAGAGCGCTGGACTCTGGGTCGGACGGCCCGAGTTCAAGTCCTGGCTGGGGCACTACGTTGGGGCCTTAAGTAAGCCGCTTCACTCACCTTGCTTCGTCTTCTCGGATAAGACGGAAAGCCGTAGGTCTCGTCTCCTGCAGGGTTTGGGGTAGGAGACGTTAATTTCCCACGCACGAGATTACTGTGTGGTGGATGTCCTCCCCTGGGTGGGATGGGTGGGAAGGTGAGATCGCTACATGGACTGAAGCGGCTGCCGAAGGCGCCTTACAATTATCCAACAAATTTTCTATGTCACCACCTTAATAAATGCATGCACGGAGAACAGTATGGAGAATATGCATACTGATATTAGGGTGTAAAGAGTTTTAAAAACTAGGACACCTTGGCGCGCCAACCATCGAGTCTGTAATTAATTATCACATGGCTTTTACCAGGATGAAATTCTTAAGTGCAGTTGATATCGAAATGTAAACTGATCGTCTGTACTGATAAATGAGTGCAGTAAAGTCATAGGTAACTCAGTGGTTAAGGCATAAATAGTGAATTTGATTTTATGTATTCAGATTTCTACTTTTCAGTTTCATTTCTATCAACAATATGTGTCTACATTAATCAGGCACAAGTTTAAAGCCTTGTTGCTGATTGGGTACCTCATAGTCAACAGAAGCTAGAGCAGATTTGCAATCTAGTTGTACATTAATTACTATATTAATTTATCTTAAGTTTTCAGTAGTGTTATCGTTTTAATACCTCGATTTAATATACAGGTAGAATTAGTCTCAAGATTTTAATAAATTATTGAAATTACTTTATGTTACGTATGAATTTTGCCTGGTCAACCGGTCCGTCTTGTTGTTTACTATGCTCGATAGCCGGCTACTTATAATTTTGAAACTGCTCTGAAGTTGTCGGACAACTTTGAGCACCTTGTAGTTTAGGAATCCAATCAAGCCGAGTGGAATGAAAAATGAAAATATCAAAAACGGAAAAGTAGTTTGCCTGTCCCAATGTTGCTCGCAGGTAAATATTTCCGGGTTGTAGATGAAGCCTCCACAGTCGATAAACGGACCGAGGGAGACAACCGCTGGTAACAACCACAGCAAAGTTACACAGAGAAAGATTCTCATCTTGGTGATGTTTTCAGTGTAAGTTAATGGCTGCCTGACGATGGCAACGTATCTTTCATGAGACGCCGCCCAAAGATGGAACACTCAAATGTACTCAAATGAAGAAGTCTGACAATAAACGAGTTTCCGTGGCACCAGGTGGTCCCAGAAGGCCATTGCTCAAGAGCATTGGCGGCGACACAATTGCTGGCCACCAATATGGCAAAGAGGAAATCTGAAAGTGCCAAGCTAGCCAGAAAAATGTATCTTGTTTCGTGAAAACGGTTATAGACTGTTACCAGAAGTAAGACGAAGAGATTTCCTACAAGAGCCACAATTGTATTTAAAGCATATAAGATTGCAAACACGATCATTATTTCGGCACGAACGGCGATTCAATTTTTGTTTTAGGTTCCCAGACGATGTTTTAACTAACGCTCCGCTTGTTTTTCTTACCTATGCTGAAATAATGCCCAACAGTAAATTTCAAAGATCGCTGGGATCTTAACGGATGCTAATTTTCTTCTCCACTCACTTAAAAGGAAGGACACTGTCATAACAACAGGTTTGCGTCAACCGGTTCAAAGAATTTCTTCTGATTTCGTTCATCCTTCTATTTTTTTTCTTTATTATGTTCTGAACTAACGTAATAAAGTTACCATAGTAGTATACAGAGCTAAGAAAAAGGGAGAGATTAACTGAGAAAAAAAGAACCTAAGACAGATGTAAAACACCAATAGATGAGAAGCATTAAAAAAATTGTCCGTGCCCTTTAATTTTACTTTACGTAAGAACAGTGAGTGATTTTATCATTTGAAACTTTTTTCTTTTTTTCTTTTGACATCAGTATGAAATTGTAAATGAAGGCGTTTAGCCAGAGTTTCGGTCTCCAAAGTTCTTTGGCTAAAAAAAAAAACAAACAAACAATAAACGAAGATTGATGAGGTAATATTTTTGTCGCTTGTTTGATACGATTTGATATTTCCGTTCCTTAAACCGATATGTGTTGGTTTCAGGACAAAGATTCCAAACAGAAAAAAAAATCGAAAACGAAAAGCAACTAGGATGTATATAAACATGTGAACGAATCAGAATGACAAAAGAACATAATTATAATTATTGCGGACATCAAAACCAAGTTGTGCATCATTAAAGCGTTTCTGGCAAAAATAAAGGGTAGAAGGAAGGAATTTGTTAACACTAACTATTTTGCTCTTAACACGCACGTATTTCAAACTGTCTGCTTAAAACTTAAGGGCGGATTACAGGAGAGTTTTAAAGATATAAGGTATGTACGAAATTAAGAACTCATTATACAGAAATACATAGATTTTTCAAAGCCTGTAAATCAGATAATTAAAATTGTTATTTACCTTTAACATTCGCAATTTCTCGAATTCCAAGCTTGTGTTCCTCGCTGTGATTAACGACTGAAACCTGCCGGGCCAGTAAAACAGGGATAAATCAGTTTCACTTGTCTAACTTTACTCATTACCACATGCAAGGCATAAAAAGTTCATCAATGATGTTTCTCCCAACTTATGTTACTCGACTAACAAGTTTTTGTGGTCTCATTTTGCGATGCAATGTATAGTGAACAATCCAGTTTTCACGATGCATTGTCCCGAGTTTAAAAAAAATTGATTAACGTTCTGCTGAATACTCCAGAGGTCAACTTTTGCGGCTCCATTCTAAAAACTTGATTAACTATGCTTGATTCCTTGTCTCGCCACTCAATCTGCCAGCAAAATTCCTGTTCAGTGCTTACTTTTTCAAAGTTTGTTTACAGACCCTTTTATTTGGTGTCATTGTAGTGATTTGGAAAATATTAGCTCAAGGCGGTTTCTTGAACATCTCTCTAAAGCTACCGAAACATTTCTTTGATGTACATTGTACTTTTATTCAGTGATCAATTAGCATCTGGCAGTGTGCTGGACAATTTTAACATCTGAACCAAGTATCAATAACAAAACTGACCTCGGTCACCAACGAGTTCTCTGTGTTTCAGTTATTAGAGAATCCGTAGACAAGATTGGAAAGTTCGATTAAGGCACGAACCTTACTGGAAAGACTAAGGGTTTGTCTTCGTCTCACCCTCTCATCAAAGGATTTTTTTAAACATCTTTCTCTATAATCAAACTTTCTTTTCACTATTTCTTTAATTGAATACATTCACTTTAACGCGAACCTTCAGTTGAGCTACATTTTGCTGTTGTCGTAGTAGTAGAAGACTATATTTAACGAGGGTAAAATTTAACAGTTATTAAACTCACGAGCTCATGAACCTCATGTTTTAAATGAAGTTTGTTCAATTGTTAACCAGTTTTACCAAAGTATGACGAATTAAAGAAGTAAATTGTACCTTCTAGAACAAATCAGCCTTTTCTTACTGAGGTCGAACTCAGTCCCCACACTTACCGTGACCCCTCGGAGGTTGGTCCGTCCTTGCAGACTGACAGAAGTCAATGCTGCGGTGATGATACTGATAAACATAGTAATGATGATAAGACCCGCTAGCATCCATATCAGACCCAACAGCTTCCCAGGGATTGTTTTAGGCGCCAAATCTCCATACCTAAAATATAGATTCGTCATTACGCTTTACAATCTGTTTCCCTTACAATCACAGCAAAGAGCTGAGGATTATTTCAGGGGTTGCAATAAATGTTTCCACAAGCGGGCGCTATTGGTGTAACTGTGCCCAAAAAGAGGCCATGAGGTGAAACTCAAACACAAGAGCCTGCTCGTGGGCTCAATAAACGGCGGTAAAAGTTCTTATATCCCAAGCTCCATTTTGGCCCTTTTCTAGCCGACCATCAAATATGCGGGAGCAGTAACTCAATTTGATCCTTTCCCATGATGTTTGTTTTAATCCAACAAACGAAGATAATTTGGTTTTATCGCTGGACCGAGTCGATAAAAACAATCAGACGGAGTCCAAAACCAATTTGAAATTGACAATAACTCTCCATTTGACTTTGAAGACGACTGTAGCTTAGGTCACTGTCGTCGAAGCGTCAGTCTCTACTCTCGACAACAGTCCTTCTTAGGACGACTCTCACGCGGACGATCTGACTACACGATCACATGGGTTGATAATGTAAAGTGGCTACTGTAAGGAGTTTCTAGGCTGACATTTTGACCGTTAGCCCTTCGCCAGAGCAAATGTTTCACTCTGACGAAGGGATGACGCTCGAAACCCAATTAGACCTAGTTACTTTGAGCTTCCTCACAGGTTCGTATAAGGAAGCCTGTGGGAAGAAAACGTGGTGTGTTTATCTTGAAAATGTCCAGAGAATATTTCGTTGCATGCTCTTTGTCGTTGTTTCCGCGTGGCTTGTCAATATACGTAAAATATGAACGAGAACAAAATTTGTGACATATTCAAAGAAAAGCCTCTGTTATCGAAAAAACAGGACTCCCCGCATTTCAGTCGAGAACCACACTGGCTGATAATATACGTAAACTGTAAAAACGAAATCTTAAAAGTGAGAGCTCTCAGCGGTTGCAAAACGACTTTGCTGGCAAAAAATTATTTACTCTTCGTTAACCCGGGGCATTTTTGCATGATTCACTAGCTACGACTTGATGTTGGATTCTTTGTCTTCTTTGTTTCAACGAGAGAGAAGCTGTAAACGTTTTGTTTGCTTGGAAGTAAATCACTATATATTTTATCTATCCAAGAGATTATAACCTGTATATAGTCTCTATCTTGATGCGAAATATTGGACCAACTTCATTGTAGAATTAAAAGCGTTTCCTCTCTAACCTCTATCCAATCTGCACTGTCAATATTTTTCAAAAGATGGCTTAGATAGATTCTTCATCATATTCGGATGCCAGGAAATTATATGGACATTGCTTGTTGTGTGATAAAACTCGGATAAAGATGAGGAATAGAGCAAATGAACCATGCTGTTCGATCATCTACAGATTGCCTCGGTCTGCTTAGTCAGTCTATTATGCTGCTGTACAAAGGGACGCACCTTTTGTCTTGGTTTCCTTTTAGTGGTTGACAGTGTGGGCGTTCTCAATCAGTTTTGACTCAAATTTTAAGCTTTAAATTTAAAATAACGCTCACATTGTTCAATATATTTACAGCACGGGAAACAGTTGATAACATCACCTGTATTTTAATTGTCCATTCGGTATTAATTTTTGCAAAACTAAACCCAGCTAGCTCAAAACATTTGCGTCGTAACAGTTTTTAAACATTTCCAGAAATAACCTTTGTCTCTGCATGTTTACGGTTCTCAGGATACGGAGAAAAAATAGATTCTTCGCTGTGGCCGAGTTGCTCGGTATTTTGTATAAAATGCTTCGAAAAGATTCATATATATTTTAAGCTTCAGTAGAAATAAAAGGCAAACTACGGCGACAGATATGACCAAACCATGTCACAAAACCACAATTTCATCTGTTTGACGCTTTCCTCGAAACCAAATAAGCCAAGGAAGTGAGAAGCGATCGTTAAGCCATAATGATTTTGGGGCCCAAACATTAATTAAGCAAGTTATCACAGAACTATTTTTTCAACCTATGTTGAGATGACCCACCAAACAAAACAGAAGAAAAGCATCTATGGTACTTTATATCCTTAAGCCTTTGGTCTCTTACATCAATTCGCGTATCCTCAGTACTGTTCTTTATATAGTTCCTCTAGTACTGACAAAGAGAATTTGTTTAATAACTAAGAACTTCTCAAGGTAGTGAAATAATAACAATATTTTCTAGCAGTATATCTGTCTCACTATGGCCTTAACCCTTTCTCTCACTTCTGTGATCTTCCAGCAGTACACAATTGGATTAAGTGTAGAATTCAAGAAAGAAAGAGTCAATGTCACCACCCAAGCAAGCATAAGATTTGGTGCCTCGTTTTCTTCAGGGTAAACCACAATTAGACCTGTAACTATGCCTGCTGGGAGATAGCACATGACTAGTGTGAAATATACCCACAATGCACTGGACACTGTTTTTCTGTATCGAGCTGCGTTTAAAAATGGTGCAGTTCTGTTAGGAGCACTCACTTGTATTTGAAATTGACGATAAAAGAGTTTCTGATATATCTTTGCGTAACAGCAAGTTGAAACTATTAAACCTAATGAAACAACCGTGACACTATAATATCCAATGATGTCAAAAGTCCAGAATATTGAGGCACATGCACAAATACTCAAGGCCCAAACACAGAGGACGGCCAACGCAGCGCGTTTGGAAGTGACCATATATCTGTACCTCACACCAAGTGACAAAGCAAACAGTCTGTCCACACTTATTGTGGTCATTGTCAGTAAAGATGCTACACAGGAGAGCATTTCGACAACAGCCGAGATGTGAATCAAAGGGGAACACAGATTAAAGTTTCTGTAATGAACCGACATTAAATATGCGACAAATACCGGCTCCAAAACAAACCCAACACACAAATCAGTAATGGCCAAGGAACGTAATAAGATCTTGGAAGGTGGATGAAGCGATGAGCTCTTGCTTAGAGCTGCAAGTACTAAAATATTACTCGACGTCGAGGTTATGAAGAGAAAAACATTTGCAGCCACAAGAAACCATAATGAAATTGTTCCTTCTAGAAAATTTTGACAAAAGAACAGAGCATCTTCAATGCTATCCGCCAGTGTAGCTCTCATTGCTTAACTTTTACCAACGAGTACTTTTAAAATTTCACGAGGAAGAGTCGGGGTGAAGGTTCCTGACGGATTCGTCTCTGCAAGGTGATGATGATAAAAGCAAAGTTCTTCTTGTCAGCACATTTTAATTTGTAGGTGCTGATCATGAGTCATCAAATACGTAGGTATGAACTAGATTGATAACCTATATTGTTGTTTACTTTCATCTCCAAGATGCACGCTGGAGGCTATTATTAAGTAAGAATAGAATCTAAGGAAAGTAAAATTGCAATAACGGAATTACGTTATTGGTGGGAACTATCGAAACTATCAGCCTTTAAAATTGTAATAGATTTTGTATACGTATTAATTTTCTTTTGCACTTATGCATATTCTTCATATGTCCTCAGTATTTCATAAAGTAATTTGGATATATCAACAAAGTTGAAATGGTAAATTGGCCACCGTAATGATTACAAAAGCTGACGTTTCGAGCGTTAGCCCTTCGTCGCTCCGACGAAGGGCTAACGCTCGAAACGTCAGCTTTTGTAATCATTACGGTGGCCAATTTACCATTTCAACTTTGTTGATATATCCAAATTATTTCGTTACTCCCACCGACGCAGCCCCAAACAGTTTCTTTCGAAACTATCGGCCTTTATTCATTTCATAAAGTATGCGCCTTGAAGTGTATGTGGGTTATTCTAAGTCACCCTTGAAACAAACCGGTCTATCCTAAACTTGTTTTGTCAGCAGTAAAACGAATTCTCAGTGTCATTTGGCCACAAAACGTTTAAAATCTGTTTAATTAAGGATGGAAAATATATCGCAAGAGGATATCGACTTTTTCTAATTTTAGAAATAAAACATCTGCTGCTGTGGCGGAAGACCGTTCTCATTTCAAAGAACCGAATCATCCCTTATTTACATTTGTGTACGATTCCCTTGAATTGTAATTTAAATTAGATTCAGAGTTTGCTGTGATCTAACATTTTTTAAGGAAGAAATTTACTTATGCTATCCTTAAGAAAAACCAACTTATAAAATATGCGTCCTGATTGAGTTTCAAGTTTCAGGAAATTATTGTAAAAGCAAGTGCTTTGAGTTAATTTCTTTAAAACTATATATTATTTTTTAAGCTTGTAAACTACAGAATTCGATAACTTCCTTGTTATTCTTTTTTGAAATATAGAGATAATAATTGAGTAGAAAGAGAAAACTACCCATGTGTCTTCAATCGATTTATACGTACTTGCGTTTTACTGTTTCACCAAACAGTCTTTGGGAAGTCAATCAGCACATATTGTGCTAAAAAAACCGTTAGGCCGATTGTTCATTGATGTCTCCTTTCAACAGTTACTGGGCCATTTAGTTTTTTCTTCTATTGTTGATTTTACTCGGTGCAAATTTTCAAGGGAATTGGTTTAATTTTGTGAGCCCCAAATTCCAAAAATGTTTGGCCAATTCACCGAATCGAAATATGGCGTCCTATTTTGTTTTAGACTTACTAGCCTCGTCTTCACGTGGAAACACAAAAGGATTATCACATGTGTGTAAGGCTAGTCAGTCCAGAACAATGGAACTTTTTTTTGAACTTTGAACTTTTATTTATTTCACACTATTAATGGAAGTTACTATTCATATGAAAATAGGAGAGAGAGAGAGAAGAATAAAAGTAATATTTGGCCATAAAGATAAGTTTGAGAGGTGCACGGTGTCCAAAGTAGCAAAAGCTTTCTAGTTGGACACCGTAAATTGGCACCGTAAATGGCAATTCAAATTGGACGCCATATTTCAATTCGGTGCATTGGTTCGAAAATCAAAGCAGAGGAGAACGCTTCCGAAGTTTCCGTATACGTTTTATTTACTTTGATCAGAATTTTGTTTTTTCCCTAATTTCTCGCCAGAAATAATATTTTTATCAACTAAAATGGTGAACTGATTTCGATAGATTACAATTAAACACTTAAGTTTATGCAAAAAAAAAAAACCAATCATTTTCGAAAACTTTCGTCCCTGAAAGTATCATTTATCGCTAATTGATCTCAGGCAGAAGTGGATACATGTGTGGGGTTTATCCGTGCTGACTCAAAGTTTTCCTCCTGCCCATAATCCAGGCTTTGTTTTAAACACTTGTCCAAAAGTGAATAGACCTTTCCTGGGTCAAACATTCTAAGCGCGAAAGATCAACGACGAAGTTTTTCCAGTTAAGTCATATTTTTTTCGTGTTCTCCGAACTCTACGCGAAAGTGCTCGACTTCTCAATGTCTAATAGGCTGTAGAATTTAAACCCCCTCCCCTCTGTGCCAGCACAAAGTTTCCCTTCCATCACCCAGTGAGTACTAAGTTGTTTTTAACAACAGCTTCCTTAACTCTCCACTGAAGCGGGTTATAATTGTCATTCTAGCCATGTCCGATGATTTCTAATTTTGTGCTGAGATATTCAGCGTAAAATTTCAACCCTTCGTTCGAGTGAAGGACGAAGGGCTAACGCTCGAAAAGTCAGCTTTCCAGGTTCTTTACGGAAGCCATTTACATTATCAACTCAGTTGACAGAACCAAATTATCATGTGATATGCTCAGATCTACTTACCCAACGGTTGTCATGGTAATGAAAGCCCACCAGAATCCTTCAAACACACCGTGAGAAAACGACTCAGGGAATTGCTCTGTATTATCCCTTCGTTCCTGTGAGAGGAAAATTTGGCCAAACTTTTTCATATGTAAAGATTAACTTGAATATCTTCTTTATCTTAACTGCCGGACAAAAAAACCGTCGTTTGGTGGATCTTGAAGTTGATTGTTAGTTATAAAAAAAATGCCTCGTGAGTAAATTAACAGACGATGGATTTATAATGTGAAATAACAACAGAACAACACCCCTCGCTTAGATAACCTCTCACAAGTTTTGATGCAATATTAAGTGACAAATCAAAATTGAATAAAGTAGATTTCTGTAGATAAAAATAAAAATAAAAAACAAGGACAACCCGATGACTTCGGAAACGTTAGAACGTGTCCAGTCCACGATCGAAAACTTTAGGCAGTTTGGTTCCAGCTATGTTCCACCCGCCTACTTTTTAGAGTGTCTGCATCTAGTATATGATCTTGCAAAGGCAACAGCGACGACGTTTACTACCGCCACGTCAATTTTGCACGATTTTTTATGGCTTGCCAATTAAAGGACTAGGATACTTTGTCACTTACGAATAACCAGATAACGACTCCAGCGAGTGAGGCAGAGATGAGAATGAACACAAGGATGGGCCAGCCTTGAAGAACAGACAGCAATAACTGAGCTCCAGATACGTTACCCTTGATAAGCACTGCAACCCCAGGGGACTCAAGCAGCCCAGTGAACCGGAACCGACGAACGGTCTCTGCTCCGACCTCTGCCCCCACGGGCAAAATGAGATCAAATTCTTCCGCGGCCAAAAGTTGATCTAAGCCAGCAGGACCTTCAGGGACCGTTGTGTAGTTAAGTGTTGTGCTGCTTTTACAACAACGTTGAAGGGCTTTGCTTAAGATTAATGGAAACATCCCTGATAAAGATGCTGGTGTGACTACTGTTGATTTTACGTTGTCTTCCTGCTTGTCTCCAGATTTGTAAATATACGGCTCCTGGCTCCACCATAACACAGTCAGCCGCCCTCCGCTGCTGCACTTGTGGTCGACGGTAACAGAATTTGCTGTGGAGACGTTGTTTATAAACAAGAATATTACCACCATATGCTTCATAATTTTTCTCTTCCTGATCATAGCGTTGTGAACTCAATAAACACGTCTTTCGATAGATATTTCACAATAGGCTTGAACGAAAAATATAGAATTGGAATAAGTGACACCAACGAGTCCGAGTTTATCCGCTCAAACTGTCCTCTATTTTCTCTTGATGTTTTTCTCTTATTTCTCTCTCTCTGTTGTCACCTGTACAATAATGACACGTAAAGCAATTACCGTGTCGGAGTAAGTAACAATCTCGCTTCAATGGGACTCAGCAGTAATACCACTTCTTCTTTTGTTTTCCTCGCAGTTTTGTAGACAAGAAAAGAGGATGATCTGTTTGCCTTCCTACTGTTAAATCGTAGTTCTAACTGTTACATCGTAGTTGGTGTGAGATTAGTTTGTGATCAGTAACTGTATCATACAACAAGAAATTGTGGCGAAAATATCACTTTCTCCATTGGATAACAGTCCGCTTTAGCATTAATTTTTCATAGCTTGTTATCACAATATTTAGCATACTGACAAGTTCTACGCTAACGGAGACATAATTTAAGCTATGTAGAATTTTAGTATAGTATCTTGTACTGTATCTTTCCCCATGTAAAACGAGAGTAAATGCAGTGTAATATGTATTTATATCGAATGTAAATTTGGATAGATTTTTTTATTTTGAAAACTAGTTGTTGAGGAAGTCTTTTGGTATTGAGTACATAAGATAGTCAGTGTATCTATAGTCCTTCTTGGCAACGAATATCATTGCAGGCTGCGGTTTGTTTCACTGTGTTTATTTTGACAACATATTCAGAAAAAAATTCAGAAAAAAACGTTATTAGTATGTAATTAAGCCCAGCAAATTGTGTGCTTTATTGAAAGATACAACCACAATTTCCTCTAATCAAATCTGCATGTGTTGATGGAGAAAAGCTATTGTTTAAAATTCCAAAACGCATAAAACCTACTTCAAAACAGGAAATCAAAGACTTACACTAAATTAAGTTTGACAATAATGATGAGAATATTCAGTTTAGTTAATTAATAAAAAAATGTGGCCTTGTGTTAGAAGTTTCATTTCTATTCGAGAGGTGAAATTGAAGTGAAATGAAAATTGTTTATAGTTGTTATAATTGTTTTTATCCATTAAAACACCACCAAGAGACGAGAATGTATCGGTTAAAACAAAGATAATATCTATCAATATGTTAAATGAGGGATTTGTTTTTGTTTGAAACGAAAAACAGCTGTGAAGACTAAGTCGTGTTCACATTTTCCAACAGTGGCGTTCATCCCAACGATATCGTTTTGATACCTGTTAACGTAATGGGGTTTTCTTGTCGTTTGACTTTCATATTCTCAGTTTCTTCTTTGTTAAGAATAGGTTTGGCAACATCTAACATGCAAAATGCATGTTCTCCAGGAAAAACATCCTTAGATCTTATTTACTGGGAACAAAAGCCTTACGTTTTCATGGACAAGGAGAGAGGTGAAATTTCTGGTGCTCTACCAGAAATCCTTCGCATCGTTTTCAAGGCTTGTTGCCAAAAAACCCCCAATATTTCGGCCAAACCTATCGAGTATCCTAAATCACTGAAAACCACAATCGATCAGTACTCAGAAGAGATCATTATTCCTGTGGGAAGGAGAGTCGGCCTCGAGAAATCCATATTTCTACGTCCTTTTGTAGGATCAGTTGATTCGCCTGGAATGGCTGTTGTGGTACAGAGGAGTATTCCGGGCGAAGAACTTTTGGCCGCCATTTTGGACTCTTGGCCAATTATGATTTTCATCGGGATGTCGTTATCACTTAGTGGAATTGTCATGTGGGTTCTGGTAAGATAGCTTGTCATAATTTTCCTAATTATTTTTACATAGAGTGCAAAGTATAATGCTCAGTAATATGGACAAGTCCATTAGACTCGTGTGTACATCTGAATTACTCTTTACTCCCACCGACGCAGCCCCAAACAGTTTCTTTCGAAACTATCAGCCTTTATTCATTTGAATTACTCTTTGTTGATCATACAGATGATCACAAATCTTTGCTGTAGATCTACAAAAAAAAGAAGAAAAATAAAATTGTGTGTACTTCTGGTGTTCGGTATGCTATGGCAAAAGTTTTTTGATAATTTCTATTAGTCATGTGAAGTTTGCAGCATCGTGGTTTGTAGGAAAATGCTCCTTAGCTGCCACAAGGTATTTAAATAGGATCTGCCCGCGAACGATCTGTTATTCGTCAGCCGTTAAAGGGATAAAATTGTTAATTGAATTATTTATTCATAACAAGTCGTCTCCCATTTCATTTACTAATGACTATAACTCTACTATACTATATTAAGTCAAGCATGTTTTAATATTGGTCACATATTATATATCCTCCAGGACTATCGTTCAAACTCTGAGGAGTTCCCAGAGTTTTTCCCAAAAGGAGTATTCGAAGGAGTATGGTGGGCTGCTGTCACCATGACAACGGTTGGGTATGTGGGTTCTAAGATTTTACCTAGCAAAACATAGCATAAAAAGTGTGCAGTTAAAGTTTACTGAGGTAGATGGTTGAGAACCAAAAGTATTAGTGACGAGTAAGAATCTTGTTTGTGCCGACGCAGAGGCTTTTTGGTTGAAAGTAATATTGTTTTGTTTCAGGCAGGACATTCCAAACATACACACCACTTGTAACCGATTGCCATCTCATACCCTACCTCTTCATTTTGGTCACCGTTCTACCATTTTCAGTTCCCTCAGTTCCCAGGGTGACCCATCTGGATAAGTTTCTTTGTAAACGGAGATTTCTTCGGGAGTGGTTTCCGCCAAGTGTGTTCTCGGCCATGAAATTTATACGATGTGGTGTGAAAGAGGCCTCTGTTTTTTATTGAATTCCCAGTCTCCTCTGACTAAGCTTCTTTTGGACTTAATAGGCATACGTGCCAGGCAAATTGAATCAGAATTGTTACTAGTGCATGGTTATTTAACATCATAAAATTAGCCCTATTTCTTGATTTGATTTTAAGCCTCAAAGTAGTAGCTATCTTAAGATTACTTGTCAAAAGTTCTCTTCATACGTAAATTTGTTCTTTAAGCTTACAATCATTAAAATTTCTTTTGCTCTTCCTTTTCCAGTTACGGCGATAAAGTTCCTCGCAGTATTGCAGGCCGCCTTTTTGGTGTGGTATGGATTAATGTTGGTCTTGTTATCCTCGCTATATTTATGGGGATGATCACCGCATCTCTTAGCAGTAACAGTCTTGAACAAGTAAACAACCTATATGGAATGCCAGTAAGTCCAAATTCAAATTATTTTCTTTCTCAACAAGAGTCTTATGAATAACTATTTCGCACTTGGGAGTTGCGCATAATGAAGTCCAATGATAGCTTTACAAAGGGCTGTATTACAGGTGTTTACCTTTACTCCTCAGGGGTGATTGCTAATTCTCCTCTCTTGCTGTAAACACTTCATTGTTAGTTAATCATGAGACTTTGGTGTTATATCAAGAGAACAACTTGTACCCGATAAGGTTAGGTATTCTCATCACCAGTTTGCTGGACAATGTATGCATAACATAGGGAAAATGTTACAAGTTAAACACTTACAGGAGTTAAGAAGTTAAAAACGTGATCTTCTGTTTTTGAGATCAATCACTAACTGATTAAAGTAATGGGAAGTTTCATTTAGTCAATCAGTTCATGATTTTGCTTGGTGAGTTCCCAAAGAGCTGGCGAAAACAGATCACGAAGAAATCTTTCCTAATCAGCCACCTCGACTGATAGTGGCCTCATAAAAATTCTTCAGCGGCTTCTTTCCTTGAAATCACGAGAACTTATTTCACCGACGATCGTTATTACCTTATTTGCCATTACACGTTTGTTTCTGAATTCGAAAGCATTAGGTTGACTGAGTACTACCTCAAAACAGAATCCATGTACAACGACCCAACCCTAGATTTGATACTCAAGCGTAACGACTGCAACCTCTTGAGCGAAAGAGAAACAATAGTTGTAGACCAGTCACTATTTCGCTTAGAGAAAAAAAAAAGAGACAAACGAACAGAAAAGAATGAAGTAGGAGAATCAGTTTTCAACTTTGCAAATCCTGACGAGTGTTTCAATGGTTTATCAGGTTGCAGTTTTAAATGGCTCTGCTGAGGAACAATTAGCTATTTTACAAAATGCTGAGGTGTATGGTAAGTTCAGGTTTGTTTAGGTTTACATGCTCCGCATTCCCAATCAATACACTTGTAAAACTGCCATACCCAACTCTTATTCCACAAAGACTTTAAGAGTGACTAGTCGTCATCTCGTTCGACCACTTGGTTACGATGTACAGTTTTTAGTTTTTAGTCCCGTCCTGAAAAGCTGGTGGAAGAAAAATGAATAAACAGGAACTGAAGGAGACCTCGTGGGTTCTGATCTTTTCTTGAGATGAAAACATTAAACAAGATGGTCAAACACTGCGCATGCACGAGGGTTTGAAAACAAGAGGGATTTGCGAACGCGTGGTAAGCGTAAAGCGAGGAAGAAATAGTTAAATTTCCAACTATTCCAAAGCGTAAGACCGTGAAATGAAAGAAGGATTTTGGAGAAGGATTGAACCTTGGTTTCATTTTATTGTGAGATATCCCAACTGTTTTTATCGCGGACGCTTCATTTCGCTGATGAATGGTAATGACTCAACCTTTCTTCTATCCTTGATGCGAAGTCTTTTCAGCCATGAACAGAGATCTGCGATCGTCACAAATGTCCTGTGTGGCTCTCGTTCTTCCTTTTTTCACACATTTCCCTCGGTATTTACCAGCAACCCCACCATGAACACAACAAAGAATAACTACTGCCGTTACGGCCAAACTTACGGCCAACGTCATCACGCTCCCGTGCAAAGTGTAAAGAAAATGTTTACCGGCTATAACAAATTACCCATCTAATTGCACATGTGCAAACATTTGACTGCTGTGTTCGGTGCCACTATTTTGAATCCAACTCAGCAACCTGGCCTGTCATTTGTGACGTATCAGAGGCTCGTTACACCTTTTTCTGTCTCGAGGCAGTGGCTTGAGTAATGTAAAGAGCTATGCAAAAAGGGATTCTTAGCTCAAATAACTTTTTTTGTTTCGATCAGAGAGGCAGTTGTATGTGAAGCGTGCGTTGTGGTTTTACGTGTATGGCCAGTTTACAAAGCTGTTTTCAAAATTGCGGCGTCCATAGGCGAGTTCTTAGATACTTCAAGATAATCTTAAAATACGTTAATTAAATCGTAAAATTTGATCAGTCGGGTTTCTGAGGATACCTCTACCTGAACAAAATAAAGCCAAAAACGTGTCTTGAAATTGAAATGGACGGTAGTAACACGCAAACGATTGTCTAGATGATGAAAGTTTTTTATATATTATAGTAACATAAATTATCTTAAGCTTTTTAATTGAGCATTTCTATTAGTTATAAACTTTCTTGTTCATTTAGTGAAAACAAGTTACGACGAGTTGTTTAAGAGCGTTAAGAGCGAGGAGACCGTGCTAGCTTTAGTAGATATTTTCAGCACTACTCAGCACAGTGAATATTACGATACATACAAGTTATATGTGGCCACAGTCCTGAATGAGCCTGTCATCTACGGAGCAGTGTTACCCAAGAGTAGTGAAGCCCTAAGATCGTGTTTCCTGAGTTACCAAGGGAACCATTTGTTGGAAATACACGAAATTTTGGAAAAGTTCATCAAAGCAAAACAGGTATTGTAATTCAAAACAGGTATTGTAATTCCCATCTGGGGCTCGGATTTTTTCTATTACACTAAAAATTGTAATTCAATTGTGTGGAGTATTTTTCAGGAGAAAATTAGCGAAAATTATTGTTATCGTACGCCGTTTGCAACTCTACAATAACCAATAGAAGTCTCAGAATGCGTTTTCTGGGTCACAGCTTCTTAAGAAAAGAAAGCAGTTTGGGGAATTTGCAGGTACTTAGCTTCTTGCGTCGGGGAAGGATCTTAACTCTAGTATTTATGTTTGGGCATTCGTACCATCATTGAGGAAATTGACGAGAAGTTATTGTTGCTCTGATCCATGAAAAGAAACTACTTTGAGCTTCCTTAAGCAAAACAGTAAGAAGAAAAGAAAGTGCCACAACCACCTTTACATGTATCTGATCAAAGCACGTAACGTTATCTATAAGCAAAATTCCCCCAGTAAAAAAAATGCGGACCTCTGAGCCTGAGTATTTCTCCTTGCACTTATTTCAGTATGGCGGTGACAACTCAAGCTCTGGTGCAGACTACTTTGATGGCAACCTGTTTGGGTACGCAGTTTATGGCATGTGTGGGTTGTTCTTGCTCGCCTTGGCTGTTGGTCTTTTCTGGCAGTATTACCCGAGGGAAAAGAAGGAGCAGGAAATTCAAAATCGGGAAGGTAAACAACTGCAGTTAATTGATTGTTTTTTATCTGTACTTCAGTATTTCAAATTTCTTCAACTTGGACTGCACTAGTTTATTTTGATATGTGGTCACTTAACACGGGTTAAGAATCTACAAAAACGTATACATTTCTAGGCGACACAGAACAAGTTTGTTACTCAATTTATACAAATTGACCATTGCAAAGAGAGCAAGACGGCAAAAGTGTTTGTTTGGAATCGCATTTAGTGATAGCAATTTTCCACATATACATACGGGAGTTGTCGGCTACGTATCTTGCTTTGTCCGCAACATAAAGATGTCTACAAGGCGAGCATTAAATTTTCATGTTCATCATAAAAAGACTTGAAAGCCGTTCCTTGATACCGCAGTGCATCCATCTTCTACTAGAGCACCAAGTCCTCACGCTTGACGATCCCACGCTTTATATTCTAACTAAAATAACGTGAATAAAATAAATAAAAACGTATAGAACTATCAAACTTTGCATCTCATGTAACTGTTGGGAAATTAACACCATTAAAAATTTCTGCTTTAATCATTTGAATATGTAGTTTATAGCGTTGGATAAAACAGGTAATTTTAACCGGCTATTCAAGTCCTGCGAGTATTTCACACCAACTTGACCCGGTAGGAAATATACAAAAGCCATTCTTATCTTATTATTTTGTCAGCAGAACAAGACGTCTCCAAACTTGACAAAAAGACGAAGGTAGAGGCGAACGGTCATCAGAAGAATACTTCGTCAAACTGTGGCGAGCATACGGAGCGACTCATGGCGGCGCAAAGTGCAGAGCTGTTAGCCATGGAGGATGAGCTTAAAGCTTTCCGAAAGAACTGGGAAAAAAACTTCCGAGCTCTACAGGAAAGGCACAAACAAGAACAGCAACGCTTATTTGAGCTTGACAATCTTGGCTACGAGATGTAAAAGAAACGAAAGACAAAAATAAAGTATAAAGCCACAGACTTTCGGAATGCATTTCCTAAAAAATGTTTGCATTTCGATTTAGTTATTTACTCAATTTCCTGATGAACATCTCATTGAAGAATTGATAACAATGTTTCTTACAATTCGCCTACAATATTCATAGTCGTATATAAGAACGATCCTTCGCAGTAAAGCACTATTTAAGCAATAGTGGAAATCAGACCTGAAAAAAATTTCAGGCCTGTACGGGATTCGAACCACTGACCTCTGCGATACTAGTGCAGCGCTCTACCAATTGAGCTAACAAGCCAACTGGGAGCAGGCCATCAAATTAATTCGATATAAACCCGTAGATGATAAATCGAACAACAACAAACATATGAAACATATGAGTGAACTGCGGTTATGAGACGTATATAAGAACGATCCTTCGCAGTAAAGCACTATTTAAGCAATAGTGGAAATCAGACCTGAAAAAAATTTCAGGCCTGTACGGGATTCGAACCACTGACCTCTGCGATACTAGTGCAGCGCTCTACCAATTGAGCTAACAAGCCAACTGGGAGCAGGCCATCAAATTAATTCGATATAAACCCGTAGATGATAAATCGAACAACAACAAACATATGAAACATATGAGTGAACTGCGGTTATGAGACGTATATAAGAACGATCCTTCGCAGTAAAGCACTATTTCAAATAGTGCTTTACTGCGAAGGATCGTTCTTATATACGTCTCATAACCGCAGTTCACTCATATGTTTCATATGTTTGTTGTTGTTCGATTTATCATCTACGGGTTTATATCGAATTAATTTGATGGCCTGCTCCCAGTTGGCTTGTTAGCTCAATTGGTAGAGCGCTGCACTAGTATCGCAGAGGTCAGTGGTTCGAATCCCGTACAGGCCTGAAATTTTTTTCAGGTCTGATTTCCACTATTGCTTAAATAGTGCTTTACTGCGAAGGATCGTTCTTATATACGTCTCATAACCGCAGTTCACTCATATGTTTCATATGTTTGTTGTTGTTCAATATTCATAGTGCACAGAAAAGTTACTTTGTCTTCCCTTGAAATCATTTGCATTGGTTGTTCAGCGACAGGAACGTATGCAAGAATTTACTACTCAGAATTTTTTATCTGGTCAGTCAGGTACAATAAATAGATTACCAGGAGTATTGGCTATGCAAAACTCGTTTAAGAGTGTTTTCATCGATTCATAACTAAAAATCTAACCATCAAATAAAAACAAACACACTAACAATGAAGAAAGCACAACTTTAAGGCGAAGAGCGATAGAATATCTGTCTAACACTCTCTATGACTGCTCTCCTCACTTCTCTTATCTTCAAACAATACAGAATAGGATTAAGAGTAGAGTTAAGAAATACAAAAGTTCTTGCAAATGCCCACGGTTTAAGGAGAGCTGGAGCAACGCCCTGTATTGCCATGCAGATTATAACTACTGTCAAGGGAATATAGCAGATAAGGATTGGAAACTGGACACAAAATGCGTTAGACACTGTCTTTCTGTATCGTGCAATGTTCAGAGGTAGATGGGAATTTGGTTGTCCTTGGTGAATTTGTTCTTGTACTTGAACTTGATGGCGTTTAAGTGTCTGATAAATCTTGATGTAACAGCAAGTCGCGACGGCTAAGAACAGCACAGTTGTTGTGATTAGATAAAAGAAAAGGTGGGCAAATGTGTCTCTGAAAATCACGTATGTGGTAGCGAGGAAAGTCCAAAAAGAAACCACAATTACTACAACTCGCTTAAAGGTAACGACTTGTCTGTATCTCAGGCCTAATAATAGGGCAAGGAGTCTGTCCACGCTTATTGCACTCATGGTAAATAAAGATAATAAACACAATATTCCCGCTAAACTGCTGGTGATGTCAAAAATCTTTACACATAGATTAACACCGCCGTGCTCGGTCATAAACAACAACGCGACATAAAGGGCTCTGAGAGAAACCCGACACTCAAATCAGTGATCGCCAAGAAACGTAACAAACTCTTGGAAGGTGGATGAAGGGATGAGTCCTTGTGAAAAGCCACCAAGATGACAACATTGGATAAGGCAGCAGTGATGGCTAGAAAAATGTTCACAGCCTCCAGAAACCGGAATGAGTGCTTTTCCATCTGTGAAAGTCCTTGACAACCTCGATGTAGATCATTTATCCTGGCGGCCGGCTACCTGTTGATCTGGGATGAGCTTTTGGTGCTACAATTCTAACCTACTCAGCTCACTGATAACAAACACGTAGTTAAATATTTTCTTCGACAGACCAGAAAACTCACAAATTGCAAAAACCCTCGACGTCGTTGATAAGTCAAATTAAGACTTAAGAAAATTAACAAATCCATGTATAGCGAATTAAGCAAACTGTGCTTGCACCCTATATTCATTTGAACAACATCCGTTTAACCGGGGATCAATTTATTTGATTATTTTGCCATGATAATTCTCTCTTATTGAAATTTTATACTCATATCTTTACATTTTGCGGAAGTAAGATTCATTAGTTATATCTTCAAGGCTTCATCTAGCATATACATTTTCATTCTATTTCATAGATATACTGAAAGGAAATGTTTTTTGTTTACCAAAAGTTGACATGGGAATTGAACATTTTCTCCAAATATAATTAAGGTCTGCGAATTTAATTAAAAAAACAATTTTTCATGAATGTATTTAACTGATTTTTCCTCCCAGCATGAGCGCTTCCGTAAGATCATAAGTAATAATGTATTTCGCACAGTTCCTAATAACAGTGAAGTTTCTTTTTAGCGGACACCCCCGAAACCTTCTCTAGAGTCCGCTTAATGGAGGGTGTCCGCTTGATTAGGGTTTGTAAAAATTGCGCAATGTTTGTCAACGATTAATATTCAACGGTTACTCTGTACCCTGTTCCATGTTGTTAACAGACGAAGCTATCCAGAGTTCAAGTTTATCACCATTCATTACCACCGCAAGGCAGCATGGGTTCGAATTCCGTTCAAGACTACAAATAAGGATATTTTGCTCAACCTCGTCCAATAATTGTTAATTATCAATACGTCTATTACATTATGCTTATAGGAGAAATTTATTCATGAAATTTCTCTATTTAAATACGAAATATCTACCAAAAGAGCAACAACGACTGCGCATTAAGTTTGCGGCATTGTACGTTTTGTGGTCAATTACAGTCGAACGGCTTCTGGGACTGGTTTAGTAAAGGTCTCTCTTACCCGTTAATTAAACGTATCCGTGGAGCCGTAAACCACTGTCATTTCCTTTCACCTGCTCACTTACCCTTGTGTCTCCGTGGATGGCATTCCAATTCCCGTACCATAGTAAGTTGTTGGTCAGTATCGATACCTTGATGTACCGTTCACTGCGCATTGTGACTTTGAAGAATATAACTGGAATAAAATTACCAACTACATTATTTTCATACTTTAACATTCAACCGTATCCATCATATAACGTCTCTGGCTGCTTGTCTAAAAAAAAACAAAAGATACCATACAACTGATGTCTCCACCCTGCATTACTTATATAAGGTGGATAGCGACAGAAAGCAATCCTTTCATGGTAAATCTTTTCAAGCTAGACGCCACATCTATAGGCTGATATAGATCGCCAAGCCTAAAAACAGAACTCACATTTTTCTTTCAATATTCGTTCGTGTGGGAGCGGGCCTGGTATAGAGATGGTTTAGAGATGGTATACTAAAGATACGCCTCTCGCTGTGAATATGTATTCGTTTTGGTTTTTTTTCTCTCTCTCTCTCTCTTTTTTTTTTTTTTGGCAGTTTCGGCTTATCAGCAGCAGTAAAGATGGTACATAAAGAACTGAGGCCTTCTCGATAAAATGGAACACTTTCTTGCAGGTCTACAAAATATTGAAAGGGATAAAATAAAATGAAACAGACAGCAGTTCATGGAAAAGGTTAACACTCTTTGCTAACTAGCCGTTTTAAAGATTACATGGTTTTATCCAAGAAACCAATAAGAAAAGTAAAAAGTTACAATAAAACCATGTAATCTTTAATCAACTTAACGGCCTGCTCCCAGTTGGCTTGTTAGCTCAATTGGTAGAGCGCTGCACTAGTATCGCAGAGGTCAGTGGTTCGAATCCCGTACAGGTCTGATTTTTTTCAGGTCTGATTTTCGCTATCACATAAATAGCGCTTTCTACTGCGAGGATCGTGCATCATACGTAGAGTACAGATGTTGACGAATCGCTTGGGATTGCCGATAACAACCGTGATTATCTACTCCACAGAATGAGACATAAATATAATTCACAATATCTACAACAGTAGAATTGGTTTTTAATCGGTCTTTTTAAGATAAAAGACATGTATTATATTATGTACAAGCCTGAAATATGTACATCTGTGGAGTGAAAGGAGTTCGATGGCTCCTAACTGCACCATATTCGTCGAATGATGGCAATGGCTGTTCGTCTGACTTCTCTGATCTTCCAGCAGTAAAGGATCGGGTTCAGAGTTGAGTTAAAGTAGGCAAGAGTTATACAAATTTTCCAAGTGGAAACAAGAATTGATGTGATACAGCCTTGTACGATCATCACTAAAACAGTAATACCAAAGGGGAGGTGACAGACAATTAATGAAAACTGTATCCACAATGTACTGGACACTGTTTTTCTGTATCGCGCTATGTTCAATGGCTCGTTTCCATTTGGTTGGCCTTGCCGAAGATTTTCTTGTATTTGAGCTTGATGCTGAAGAAGCTTTAGATAAATCCTTATATAACAGCAAGTTGAAATCGTCAGAAACAAGAAAACATTAGCCGAAATGTAAGTGAGGAAGATTGTATGGATGTCGACCCAATTAAGCGTGATAACACAGCCGGTGATGGCAGCCCAAGAACAGACCACGATAACTAAAGTTTTCCTTGAAGTAACCATGTGCTTGTATCTGATGCCCAGGAACAGAGCGAGACATCTGTCCAAGCTTATTGCGGCCACTGTGAACAAAGATGCTAAGCACAAGGTTGTATTAATGTAACTGGTGAGTTCCATCGTGACGGCAGCAATTCCCTCCACTTCAAATTGGAACGCTATCAGAAGCGTGATGAAAATTGGCTGTGAAATGAGCCCAGCGCATAAATCAGTG